CACACACACACACACACACACACACACACACACACACACACACACACTGGGATTCTTAAGAGCAAAGGAACCAACAAGATATATGTAATTTTACGAATAGAGAATGCAGTCAGTAGGCTCACAGCAGCAGAGGCTGTATGGACCCACAGTGACTGTCTGTAGGCTGGAAAGTCGAGGGACCCAGCAGCTGCTCAATCTGAGAAACCAGAAGCCTTAGAACAGGGGAGACCAAGCTGCAGCCCCAGTCAACGCTGGAGGCCCGGAAGCTCCCTGGAAAATTGCTGGTGAGGGTCTGGATGCAGAGACTGAGAAATGTGGAATCTGGTGCAAGAGCAAAATGGCAGCAGCTTAAACACGCCAGTTGCGGATGAACTGACTTGTATATGTGCGTTTCTGCCCTCTTAGGCTCTCTGTTCCATCCCAGTAATGCGCATATTCAGAACACTGACTTAAGTCCACCGTTTCTGGAAATAATCCACAGACATACCTAGAAATGCACTTTGCCAATTCTCTAGGCATTTCTCAGCAGACAACCAAGACTGACCGATCACAGGGGCAAGAAAGGATTGAAAAGTCCTTTATTCTGAGTCTGTTTCTCCTTACGTTTCACTTCACTGTATTGATCAAGGTCTTGTTATGTAGCCTAGAATGCTGCTGAACTCCCTCCTGAGTCCACCTCCTGTGTACTGAGATTATACACATGCACCACTAGCCCTGCGTTGAATATGTCAACTGTGAGTGTATACGAACTTGGATTTCTAAAACCATTGTACTGTAACCTGCCATACACGCACAGTATGTGCCAATCACTTCACGATGTCTTATTTGAATGATAGGTAATGTTAAAATGCTTCTGGTTAATATCTTCTTTATTTCTATGTCCTTTTAAACCCTGGGGAGTCAACATTTCTTACTGCTTAACATTTAAAACATGAGGCTGGGTATAACGGCTTACACCTGCAATCCCAGCTCTGGAAGGTGGTGGAGAGACACGGAAAAGGCTCACTATACGTTCAAGGCCTTCCTTGCTTATGTAGCAAGCTTTAGGGGAGCCAGGGCTGTACAAGGAAACCCTGTCTCAGAAAAGAAAGCAGCTTTAATACAAAGAAAACCAACACATTTGAGTGTTGACATACATAGGCATCATACCTGTTCTATGAAGAATACACTTTTTTTTAAGTATGTAGATGGGCTTGTTTATAGCTAGGTATAGAGGAAATAATACAGGCAACCATATAATAAGGAGAAATTTAAAAAAAAAAACAGAATGCCAGATATGGAAAGAATACTGCAGATCCTCCCTGACAGCAAATTAAAGAGGACCTATCAGTATGTCCAAGATAACACATAGCCAGATATCCTCAAGAACTCACCACACAGATTAGATGACTCTTCTTGACAAATAAATAAATCTCAAAGTGACCCCACTAAGTTTGCCATCTAGAAGGCACACATTCCAGTAATGCTAAAGGATAAGCAGATGTATCACACAGGCAGGATAGTGCTAGCCATGCAAAATAAAGGCACACGCTGCTTCTGAGGACAGCAAGCTAGAGTCCAGCGAGTGAAGGGTACTGAAAATCCCATGACAGAGCAAGAAGAATTCATTATACAAAGGCTTTGTTCCAAGGCCTGTGACTTGTGGTTGAATTTTAGATGAACTATGCAGCCAGGCTCTGTGCAAGCAAAAACCTGTTTGAAATGCAGACCTTTCTCCTTCAGTTAGTCTGAGGAGGTATTCCATTTTTGTAGTCTTGATTGGATAAATTATAGGGAGACTCGAGAAGAATATTAAGTAAATATGGCCACCATAGTAGGGAATTTTAAAATATAAAATAATAGAAATAAGGCTTAATATTTTTTTGCAGGCCCAGGTGTACGATGTGTGTGTTCATTCTCATGTATGGGCACATACGTGTGGGTCACATTCACATGTGGAGGTTGGAGGTTAATCTTGGGTGTCTTACTTGATTGTCCATCACCTTATATACTGAGGCAGGGTTTCTCACTTTGGAGCCAGAGCTGGCCAATTTAGCCAGCTTCCTGAAGAATCATATCTCTACCTCCCAAGTGCTACAGGTGGGCTGCCATGCCTAAGTGGCACTTAGGTGGATGCTGGGTATCTGAGCTAACTTTATTCACTGGGCCAACTCATTAGTCAAAGGCTCAACTTTTAAATTAAGTTCATGTAAGTTAATTTAAAAATGTACTAGTCATTGTACTCAAGAGTGTATTGGATATTAATTTGAAAGTTCCCAATATCAGCCATATTAAGTCTGTAATTGTAGTTCTAGTTGCTTCAGGCAACTAAGTAATTATATTTACAATACATGTTTAAGCAGTCAAAAAAAATAATTCTGAAAAAAAAAGAAGAAGAGAGAGAGAAAAAAGCCAGGCTTGTTAGTCCATGATAACATTTGGGTGGCCAAAGAAAAGGATGGCAAATTAAGACAAGATTCCGATGGAGAGAGAAAGGAGGGAGGAGGAGAGAATAAACTTGATTGTTTCTTTCCTTTACAATTGACTCAGAAAGCCAGTAGAGCATGAGTGGGGAAAGTGGCTGAGGAAGGGCAGGAGAATGGGCAGACTCACAGGTCTGAGAAAACAGGAGGGTGGGTGGAGCGGGGCAGGTGGCCAGCCTGTCACCCTGGAGATGGGAAGAGCAAATACTCAAAGGACAGAGGTAGGAGAATATGCTCCCCAGGTTAGAACTGGGTAATCAGTGTGAATTCACATTTAACAAATGTAAACACAAGCATCATCAACACACTCGCACCCACACACATGCACCTTAACGAAGTGTGAGTGCAGCTGTAACCTAGAAACAATGAAATCACTTTCAATAACAAAGCAACCTTTATCCCGGATTCGGATTGGGAATTAATACATTGCTGGAAAGTCTAGGAGCAGATGGGGAGACATTGCAAACATCCCTAGTTGACAATCATACATGGTTCTTAAGAGAAAAATCAGGAGAAATTTTGATTGTGAGGCCTCTAGCTCATAGGACTGCTTTATCTTAAAACCTGGCAAATAAAACAGCTTTTATTGTTACACCAGCAAATGCATATCTAGCAATATAATTTTAAAACTGCTTTTACATATACTAAGTTGTCTTCTTCTTTCATGTCTACTGCCATTGTAAAACATGCTAAGTGATCCAATTAAGTGACCTGACAGCTTGAAAACTATCACCTTGGGGAGTTAGTTATCCCGAGGGAGCAGCTGTCATCTGTGGAACCTTCTGAGCTGGTTTTAGAGTCCTGGCATCACTTTAGGAAGAGTAAATATTCACTCTAAGAGACTTTACAGTCCTTCACTTCACCAACTCAGCTATCAAAGGAATTCTAGGTAGACTTTAAGAACAAGACTCCAAAGATACTGAAAGCTGGGTAAGTGGTCAAAATTAGTTAGAAGATAAAAGCATGTTTTATAGTTATGTTTTCCAGAATGCCATTCCTTCTGAAAAAAAAGACTTTCATATATTTCATTTGTGTGGATTGAACTCAGTGTTCTACCTCTGAACACACATGCAGAGCCCTTACAGGCTTTCCAAATATTTATAGTATCTAATTAAATATAAATATTATGTAAATTAGTGAAATAAGAACATTATTTTATCAGTACTATTACTGATAAAATAAGAAAAACGCATACGCTCAGTTCTCCTCCCGGCTCCTCTTTCTCTCTGTACCCTTCTGGCCCCAGTCTCTCCCCTTCCCTTCTCCTGTCAGGCATTCTGCTGTCTTCCTCACACTTCTGCTTAAAGACCCCCACACACCATGTGTGTGTGGGAAGTAAATGAAATCCAAGTTTCCTCTCCAAAGCTGTAACTACCAATTGCTAAGGAGATGCTCCCTGTGGCAGATGCAGCTTTTTCTGAGCCCGTATGTGAGGTGGGTTTTTACATGATGCTTTCTGTTGAGTCACCCATACTTCTGTAAGAAACCCCGAGCCCCTGCCCCCGGCTGGCAGAGCCATACGTGGAGAGAATTTTTTAGTATGTTCTCAGTATCCCACATGTGAGGAATGGACATTCATGTCCATCACCACAGGAAAAGTCACACAGTGAGACGTAACTGTCGAGGGATATTTGGTCCTCCCAACTATTTTTTAAACAATCATAGAATATAGCCGTGTGTACAGAGAGTACCCAACTCACTTCAAGGGTAGTTTCATGCAACTGAGTAAGCAAAAACAACAAAAATTTTACAATTCACAAGTGCTGAAAAATCTGTCTCTTCCAAAAATGTATCTTCCGCTGTATAATGAGCTCCCTGAGCTTCTGACCATGGTGATCTGAAGGACCAATGGCTGCAACAATGTTGGATGCTTTCTGCAAAGGGCAGCGTTTAGAGCCACTGAGATGTTAGGGTGAAACTAACTGCCATGTAAGTTTTCAGACTCAACAGACACATAGAAGGAAGACATACCTGAGGTAAGAGAGAACAATTACCCAAGGGAGACTTGGAGGCTGCCTTTTAATCTCTGAACTGAACAACACTCCCTTCCATGTCTACATATCCCTTAAACAGATGAGACAAACATGGCTGTGTGGTCCAAGCACTGGTGATTTTTATTAAGAATAACTTTGGTTCTAAGAATTCCACCCTTGATTCTGTAATACTTTCCATTAAAAAAACAATTATACAAGAGCAAATACAAAAAATATTAAATTATGAAAACAAATCCATTAAGGCTCCCTTTATATATATTATGTACACTCAAACGGGTTGAGATTCTCGGAGTAGAAGAATAAAGTCAACTGTTATAGCTTAGAAAGCAATACTACTTTACTAGCAGGAGACTACAAAACACAGAACTATTTTAAGAAAACTACAGAGTGGAAAAATGGAGCCTTTTCTTTTTCCCTATAAGTGGCTCAAAGCACAACACTGCTCTCAGATGGTGATATGTCCTAGGGGTTTGGACTATACAGTGTTCAAGTGCAAAGAAAGGGTGACGGCATTTCAAAATGCAGGCTCCTGAGCTGAGCAGAGTCCTAAAAGCCCCACCACCTGTATGCTCTGAGACCTAGCAGAAGTCATCAGTATTTACACATCCTCTTTTGGCCAGACCCTAGAGCACTGGAGCACTAACCACCAAGGAAGATGGCAGGTCTGAGTGCAATCAAGAAGAAAACATGTTTGTAGTTACCTTTTCCCCTGTGGTCTATGAGTTCCTTAGTCTTAGGAACAGCATCAGCCCTTCCATAGGAGCTGATGATGGCTCTTGAAGATCCTGTCAAGTGGCAGAACATCTCAAGAGCTAACTTCCAGTTAGATAAAAAGGTATAATCATCCTGAATCGTCACCTTACCACCTGACATCTTTACTGTGTGCACAAAGAGAAAGAATAATCGATGTGCATTGGAGATTTTTTTCCCCCAACAATCAGTGAATGAACTTTCTTTTCCCAAAAGGAAGGAAGATGAAAAAGTAGTCACCATCCATTCCAATCTTCAAAGGCAAACAATTTTATCTTCAGCATCTTGTATTTTAGATAATACTTGCTGACAAGACCAAAAATCCATTTCCGCTGTAATCAGCTCTCATGTTTCTCTATCTAGCAGTGAATTATCATCCATTTACTTCTTATTCAAGCTTGGCTAGAACATGGGCCTGTTAACTACCAGATTGAAGTGTTCCCAGAGGAAGCTAGCATCTAGTGTGCTAATCATGGATTCCAAAGCACTACATCCAGCATTCTATGCCTCATGAAAGGAAATAGAAGTCTTCAGTGTAGAAATTACTGGTTAATCATCTCTGTGGAGAAATACTAAATACAGAAAAAAAACCCTCCCATGCCTACAGTATAAAATATATTTGCATGAGAACTTTCATATCATTTGTAAGTTAGATGTCTCTTTGAACAGCATGCTAGCTAACAAAAGGAAGCTGAGCAGCCCTGCCCAGCACCTCAGCTTTTCCTGAGAGAGGCAACATAGTAGTCAAGACCATCCCTACCAACAGCATCATGCTTAGAGAGCATCAAAACAGTCATTCTTCACAAGAAACAAAGGCAAGAGGAAACTCATGACCATTCACCAGAAATGTTCAAAGGTAAAATCTAAGATACTCAAAATGCACAAGGTATAGTCTTCCACTAAAGTCTCCTGGAAACAGATCTCTGTTTGCATCACATATACTATCTAAAAACCTTGTCACTCAGTCCTAACGGACACGCCTCTACACTGCTCTCAGGAGAACTCAAAAGATCCGGCATCTCTATATGGGACACAGACGTTGAGCTATACCCTCTAGTTTCATCCTCCGAAGAACTGAGGGACTGCTTCATCTAAAAGGAATAGTAGTTTTGAGCAAGAAATGACAAACTAAAACTGAACAGAAAGCCTATGGTTATCAAAACAATAAGGGAACTGACACGATGTACCTTCTTGGAAGTAGAAAGGCAACAAGTAGCATACTGTCATACCAAGAAGCTAAAGAATTACAGTAAGTTTAATGATGGGTGTTGACATGTTATAATTTCTTATCCTGCTTCTGAACTTCAATGTCAACCAAGATAAGAGGTATGGTTAATTGCAAATGTTGACATCCTCCATTCTTAATCTGTAATGTCGGGAAAAATATACATCAAACAAGAAAATTCTGGCTTCTCAAAATGAAATACAAATACTGGATGTAACAGATGAAATGCATTTTGATGCAATCAAAATGATCTAACAGCTAACCAAAGGAAGGATTCCACACAATTTCTTTAGTTTTTAAGAAACAAGGCTGTGTCCCACTAAATTTGGAATGAAAGAAAAGCAGAGTAGTGCAACCCTCAAGCATATTCCAGTGCCCCGTTCCTAGTTCTCTTTGCTTGCTTTGCGTTTTTCTTTGTCTAAAGGCTAAACACGGGTCCATGATGACTTGCGTTTGAGTCGATGTCTTTCATTTGGCGAAGGGGAATAGATACTGTCAAAGACAATTCATCTACCACAATGGCAAACCAAACCCAATCCTTTTTATGATAGTCAAAATTCTCAGCTGTATGGATTCTCTTCCTCAGGACTTTGGCCCAAGATGAGTGCTGCAGAGGCACCTAGACAGGGCTCCTGCAGAGATGGTGGGACGCGCCAGTCACAGGCATCCTGGGCAGGCCTAGAACTCCTGGGCCTGAACCACCTCCTGGCCTGTTCTCCTGAGATTGCCTTTCACCTTCACAAACTCGGGGGCGTTTTCTTGCTCTTCTTGCAATTTCTGCTTCTCAAGTTCAAGCTAAATGAATTTCAAAAATAAGAAAATTATTTATGCACTGGGAGGCATTTCAAAAGAATATTAACTTTCAAAAAAGGATATAATTTTAAGAATTTTAATCTGTGCAGAAGCATGAGCCCTTTGTTTGTTGCCACAAACCATACCCAGAGGTGACAAGAATAAAAAGGACGTCCTAGGCTCAGCACACAGTTGCTCTAGAGTCTTTCTAGACAGATTACAGTAAGTTATCCCAACACCTGGTGTACAGTGATAGTTCTTCAACTTTTTTGGTATACGTGTAGTGTGTGTGTGTGTGTGTGCAAGCTTTGTGCTTGTACATTCCCATGAGCATGTGTGTACACATCCATGTGAAAGGCTGAAGCTGACTCGGATAATCTTATTCAATCACTACCTACCATATTCTTTGAGGCAGGGCCTCTCAGTTCAACCCAAGGCTGGTCAGCATGACTAGTCTATCTAGCATGTTTACTATAGGGATCCCTTATCTACTAACATGACACACCCACCCCACATTTACATGATTCTGGGGATCTGAATTGGGTCCTGTTGCTAGCAAAGCTTTAGCCACTGTACACTCTTCCCAGCCTCTCTGATTAGTTTTGGCCTCTAGTATCTCTTTTAGGTCCCTAACAGAACTTGAGTGTCTGCCTTGAATGGGATTTATGCTCTCTGTTGCATCTGCCTCCTGTTTGTCTCTCAGGAAAAGCCCATGCACAACTAGCCTGTTGAATTGTGCTTGCCTGGCATCCAGCATCCTTGCTTCTCAGAGCTAGACTGATTTTCACCCGTGCCCTACCTGCTCCAACTTCTGCTGCCTCTTGAATAGTTCTATTTCCAGGTCGGATTTCTTCCTCTGCGCTTCTTGCTCCTTCTGCTTTATCACTTGATCTCGTTTTCTCTTCTCCATTACCTTCTGCAATTCTGGTTTATTCTGAGGGGCAAGACCTCTGGGAGGAAGAAGGGATTGGAAAAAATGTTAAGTTAATGGCAGTATCTTTCGGGAAAAGAAATGTAACTGAAGATATCAGCTGCAGAATAGATGGACAAGGAATTAGCCAGACTAGAATATCCACTACTAAGCCAAACGGTTCTTCAACAGCGCTCAAACACTCACCAGAGTGGAAGAGAAGCCAAAGCCATCTTCCTGAGAGCTCATAAAGTCCATGAACCCAATAAAAACACATAAGGCCAGGAGCAGTGGGGAAGGGAGGCAATAGAGAAGGCAGGCAGCACATGCTTACAGTGTGGGGCAGATTCTCACAATAGAGATGAAGACACGTAGGACCTGCAGTGAACCCACCTGAAGCCATAAGCTGCAACCTCTAATCTCATGTACTGAACACAGTTTAGGGACAGGATAAAAAAAAATGGCTGAGGAATGAAATCTCCCATCTGTCATTTTCCAGATATGAGACTCTTGTACCTTTAAAGACACACCCCAAGGCTAAGCTATTCCTGAAAGACAGATGCAGAAAAGCACACTCTCTCCTACTTGTCAGGCTGCTATAACAGAGTATCGCTAGTATGTGCTTTTTGATCTATACAAGAGGTCAGACTTCAGGGAAATGCTGCATTCCTGAAAGAGAAACTAGGTGGCCATTTCTTTAAATAGTGGAAAACCAAAGCTCAAACCAGCCATCCCCTGATGAAATGCTTAGTGAGACATCTGGTAGCATGAGCTCAGGTAGGAATTCTAAATTGCATGCCAGCTCCGAGTCACGTTCTCTCTTTTTGTTAGGATTTATCCAGCCCCAGCTTTCTAAGATTGTAGATGAACCTACCTGCCTCTTCTTTGTCTTTCTTATTTATGCCACTGACCCATAAATAATCTTTACTTGATATTAAAATGTAAATTATTATACTTATTCAAATACTTATTCAAATCAAAGTGAAACAACGAAACAGAAAGAGCACGCTATATCAGAGACAGAACAGTTATGTGCTAGCTCTGTTCACACTCATGCTATACACACATGCATGCAAATGCACAGTGATCAGCTCACCCACATGGCACACTCAACCCAAGGAACACAGGGGCCCTGTGCCCTCCCAGGCTGCTGCTGACCTGCCCTGTGGGGACAGAAGTCTCTAAGGTTTCCTTCAACCGAATCTGATTAATCAATTGGTACCTTACTGAACACATTTTAAAGAGTGGTTTTCAAAATGTTGCTCTGGTTATAAAACAAAACAAAATATGGAACCCATGTGGACTTTAATCACGTTGATTAAAGCCTTTATTTCCTTGACACCCTGTGTGCAGTTTTTTTTAATCTGTTTAGCCTTGATAACTGTGAAATAAACCATAAAATCATAAAAGTAATCTCACATCATTAGAACCTACAGCAGTTTTCTTCTAACCAATGTCCTGCTATGAGAAATAGTGAATGAAGAGATATGTGTGTTCTTTCAACAGTGTAGCCTTTATTATCAGAGGAGGAATATACTAAATCCTTATTCTCTAAACACAGCCACACAAGTTACTGCAAATCCAAAACAGCCTATATTTCACAATTCCTGGTAAATTACACACACACACACACACACACACATACACACACACACACGATTCTGGCATCTCTCCTACCTAGACTGTTTTATCACAATGAATTTTTTTTCTTTTCTTATTTTCATTAGCAGGAGGTTGGTTAGAAGAAAAGTTCTAATGAAAAAAGGAGATTACTTTTATGATTTTATTGTTTATTTCACAGTTATTAAGAATAAACAGATACAAACTACATACAAAGTGCCAAGGAAATTGCATCTTTAATGTGCATAATTAAAATCCATACGAGTTGCATGTATCACTAGCCAGTTGCGTGTGAAGGTACACTCTAATCTCAGCACTCAGAAGCCTAAAGCGGAGACTGGCCTGGGCTACATGGTAAAGCGCCATCTCAGAAACTCCAAAAGTATCACTAAGGAATAGTGAAATAGGAGTTTCTCAGTTTTATGAATATATTAGGTCTCAATATAAAACCTCAGACAAAATTAAAATTTAGGATTAAGAATTTAGTTGTATGAATAATTTAAATTTCAGATATCTCACTGGAAAAATTAACTTCAACTATTAATAATTTTTTTCTGGGTTACACCAAAGCTGCTGAGCAAACTCTTGATGTACAGCTCATTAGGCTGTTTTCCATTGCAACACAATACTTAACTCTGTTAAGTATTCATTTTCTGATCAAAGATTTTTACATAATGGAGATAGTAAGATAAAATATTTAGCAATAGAAACTACTGGAAAAATGGCCCTTTTATGCTAACAGTCAAAAAGTCATATATTCTTATTTAAAAATTTACCCCAGTAGATCATTTAACTTTCTGTGTTGATGAGAAAGTGAAGCACCCTCTGTAGGCCTGCTAAATCCCCGGGAGAAAAGACTGCAGACGTGATGTCAAAAGACAGAAAGCAGCCACTCTGAAGTTTGTAAATCAGCCCTTTGTCCCCTGAATGGAAGTGATGGGTCCTCATGAGCTCTAACATCTACATTAGCAAGTATCTCCAACCCCCTGTCAGTCCTGGTGGCTCAGTCTGCCTAGGACCAACCAATTCCCATAGGCCTACCTAACGACAGTGAGCAGAGCTAACTTTGTGTAGGTGTGTGTGTGTGTGAGTGTGTGCACATGCACGGGGTGTGTATGTCTGTGCCTGCATATGGATATGTGCATGTGAGTGCAGGTGCCCAAGGAGACAGAGGTGTAAGATCTCCTGGAGCCGGAGTTACAAACTCCGGCCGTGAGCGGCCTAACCTGAGGGCTGAGATCCAGACTTGGATCCTCTGGAAGTGCTCTTCACTGCCACTTCTCCAGCTAAAGTATAGCCAATTTGAAAATTAGGATTAGGATTCTATGTCAGATGGTCATGAAACAGATCAATACCCATAAATTTAAAAGCTGAATGCATACCCCAAGCTCTCCCCCTTTAAGCAAACAGCAGAAACACCATTTACACTGTATTCTGGTGGCAGGTATTACAGTTAGAATCTGAAATCCCCAACCCACCCACAGGAGGGGGTTAATCCTATGCTTATTTCATTCCTATTGTGTGATGCTGAGATTAGACATTTTCAAATGCTGATTATGAGGATTCTGAACAAGCTTTTGCCTCAATGGGTGCAAGGAAACTGAAATTACAGTTATGTTCTCTATAATTACATAATATATCTGCAGCACCTTTAAGCCACCAAGCTTACGATACTTAATTACCAAGGCAACAAACTAATACATATAAATGATCTTAATTTAAGTTTAAAAAGGGAGATTGGGAGGCATTCACATTTTTTATTACGTGTATTTTTTGTGTATGTGTACGTGTGTGTGTGTGTGTGTGTGTGTGTGTGTGTGTGTGTGTGTGTTCATAGACATACCACAGCATGCATGTAAAGAGCAAAGAACAACTTGCTGGAGTCACCTTTCTCCTTCTAACTAAACTCAGGCCATCAGGCTTGGCAGCAAGTTCCTTTACCCACTGAGCCTCCCAGTGCCCCTGTGAGGCATGTCAGTTCTCCCCTCCAAGGTTAGCCTTCCTCCCAAGCTGATTGACTCCTGCCCCAGGAGCTTTCTATAAGCAGATTGTGACTCCTTTGGTTTTGGGCCCAGCACAAGCAAGGGAGCTGTTAGACTGATGGTTAGTGTGTGCTTGTGCGTACATGTGTGCGTGTGCGTATGCGTGTGTGTAAGTCAGGGGTTGACTTTGAGCATCTCCCTTGATCACTGTCCACCTTTGCTGCAGAAGCACCTCACTTAACTGCACAGCTTCCCAGTTCAGCTGCTCCACTGCCAGCTTGTTCCATGGCCTTTCGAGTTCGGGGACTATTATAGGTGGACCGCCATATTTGACTGTCATTTACATAGGTTCTGTGAGCCCAAACTCTCATCCTCACACTTAAAAAGCAAGGACCTTACCGGCTGAACCACCTTCCCAGACCCACAGGTAGTCTTCAGGCAACCCAAATTCAAACTGTCCTCAAAGGCTGGCTTTCCTCAGGCACGGCAGTGTGGGAAGCCTGTGGGCTTTGAGTTTAGCGAGGAATGGTCTGAGTCCTAGTTCACTGTTTAATTTGAACTGCCTTAAGATCTTGACCAAGCTGCCTCTCTTGGGATCTGTTCCTTCATCTATATAGTGAAGGAAAAGAATGTCTTTCCTGTAAAAATTAAATAATAGCATCCATTAAAATAAGTGCATATGAGTGATAAGATGGATCCTATCCATCTTCGCTTCCATGTGGCACCATCATAAATCCACAATGCTGATTCCTCAAAAGATTCTGATGACTGGGAGTACATGAAAGAAAGAAAAAGGAAAGGAACAAACAAACAGAGAGAGAGAGAAACAAAGAAAAACAAACAAAGAAGAAGAGCAGTTTTCAAAAAAACCCCAAAACCTTCTAATGGTTTTGTCTGCTTTTCAATGTAAAAACCTCACATTGTTAGGCAGTATATAAATGCTTTTAGAGTGGGAATTTATTTATTATCTTTTATTTCTCTTCTATTTCATATATTCTTTGGAGACCATCAATTTTTTTTATTTCTAAATCTTAGTGCCAAATAATATGAAGCTTTATATATGCAACATATATGTTCAGTTCGTGGATAACCAGTCTTGATTACTGATTCATAATGTAATGGAAGCCTGTTTTGAAAATATTTTACCTTATCTAGTGGAACTAAGTATATGTGTGTGCTCTTGTATTCACCCCATGGAACAAGAACTCAGAATGCCTGGCTAAGGGGGACTGATATTGACTGTCTCAATAGCACAACAGATTTTGTTAACAAAAAGGATTAAAATAAAGATCCACAGCTGTTTATAGCGATAAAAACAATCCTATAAATTACAAGTTTATAAAAGCAAGCAAAGAAGAGGAATCAAGTAGCATAAATCAAACATGGGAGACTTGACCTTTGCACAGTGACATGTTTTAATTCCTCGTGTTTAACTTGGCTCAGTTGCAGATCTTTTCATTAGGGCAAAGAGTGCTGGGGGATGAGTAGTTTCTTTGTATAACAGCCCAGGCTGACCTGGAATTCACTCTGTAGACCAGGCTGGCCCAAACTCACAGAGATCTACCTGCCTCTGCCTCCTGAGTGCTGGACTTAAAGACATGCACCACCACTGCCGGCACGCTTAATAGTTCTTAAATAAAGTAACCCCATATTTTTAACTGTCCCAAAGTACTGCTCTGTTCTAATATCACCTAAAAAGCGAGGACCTGGAGAAATGATTCGGTGAGTAGAATGATTGCTGTGTAGGCACATAAGTACTTGAGTCTGAATGCTCCAGAACTCACAATAGATAGATAGATAGATAGATAGATAGATAGATAGATAGATAGATA